GTGGGAAAGGTGTTTTTAGGGCTTATTTTACTTCTCATTATCCTGCTCTGACATTGTTAGTAATAAACTTACTTTGTACCTCTAAGTTGAGCCTGTTTTGCCTTTGGAGTGTTTCCTCACGGTCCTTATCTCAGCTAATGATCCCTTTGTTAAATTTTTCTCTCCTCTGTCCATCTGTAGCAGAAAAGGTTGAGTGAGTGGCTTTCATGGGTGCCTGGTGTTTGGCCAGTGTCAAACCACAGCATCCCCACAGGTCACATTGCACTGGGAGGGTGTCTCACAGCACCAGGTTTAGTTTGCCTCTGGGGCAGAGAGATGATAAACAGGCTAGGGGCCTGGGGGATCCATGATGAGTCTGTGCTGAGCTCTGGGGCTGATGGTGTTTACCTAGGTGAACTGCACTCTGCTCATCCATGGGACTGTGTGAACAGGAGCAGGGCTTTGGGACCACATGAATAACAAAGGCAAGTTTGCTCCAAAGAGGGGAGTTCCTCACAGGAATAATCTGCTGCAGCTGCACACATTTGACCGTGTCACATTTATGTTCCTGATGACCTCTACAGATCTCTGAAAGAAGGTCTCTCATTACTGCTTTTGTCAGCAATATGCTTTGCAGTTTTTGAGATTTGATTTACCAGGATGGAGAATCTCATTTAAGTTTTGCCATAGTATTGCTCTGCTGAATCCAAAGATCAAATAAGGCACTGCCAAGAAAACACAGCAGCATAAGGGGAAGGAGTACTCTGACAAAGAAAACTAAGAAGAAATTAAGGGAAGCATCAATAATTGAATTGAAAGTGAGGCAGCTGCTTAAAAAAATTAGACAAATTTTACCATTGGGATCAAGCATTCAGTCAATTCAAATTTATGAGAACAGTGTGTTTGATTATGTAATTTGGGCAGTAAAAGGCCACATCATCAGTATGATCAGTGTCTTGAGATACAATAAGATATGTGATATTTGGGTACAGGTTGAGAGAGGATCACAGCAATAATCAACCTGCTCACAAAGACTTTAGCTCTGGTTGAGTCAAGCCTGAACCTACTGTTACTGAACAGTGAAACTGGAAGGAGATTAAATCTTACAGGAGACCTCCATGCAAAAGGACTCAAAGTGACTGCACTAAACATTGTCTGGATACACAGAGACATCTCATCATGAAAGGGCAATATTTATCTACACTAAACAGTACATAAAACAGACCCATTGTTGCTTGCAAGAGCTTCTTTAATGGCACCAGCACAAAATGGATTAGAGACAATAGCAGAAGCCATGGTATCAAAAGGGCATTTTAAAACAATTCACAAAGAAAGTGACAAAAGCAGAGGCAGAGAACTTGGTCTCAAATTTCTTGCTGGTGTTGCATCTTTCCTCAGCTTTGGAGGATTTGCATTCTAATAGGAGCGGCCAGGGCGAAGGGGACGCAGGAAGGAAAGCTTGTCATTGAAATTGATTGCCTTGTAATTTGGAAGGTTTTCACGTTCTCGAGCAAGGTATTGAATTCCACTTCCATCACTGTGCTCACACAGCAGCCAGGCACCTCTCTGGACTTTGTGGGAAGACATGATGTCATTGTCGTGTCCCGCAGCCAGGTTGGTGGCTTCTCTTACCACCCTGCTCTTCCCCAGGTAGTTGGTATGCTCATAGAGAGTGATCTCAGGATTGCTCAGATCTTCAGTGATCATCTGCAGAGAACTGACCTTGTTATTCATCCTGGAACCAAGAAAGCTATGGTCTCCCTCCTCAAGCACCAGAAACTGGCCTCCATAGTTTGAATGCTCATAAGCCACCCAAGGCTGGCCAATTACTTTTGCAGAGGAGGCAAGATCATTCCAATCTGCATCTCTTAGATTGGCAATATCAGAGGTGAATTCTTTGGATAAACCCTGGAAGCCGGAACGCTCATAAAGGATGATTTTCCCCATCTCAGTAGGATTTCTAGAGTTTAAATTTCTTCCTCTAGGAACTGGATGACACCCTGCACGAATGGAAGAGAGAAAACAAGCAATGCTTGTAAGAAGCCTTTTGGAACTTGAAACAAAATTATGGACGCCCAGGAGGGAAAAAGGAAAAAATGAAATATTTTGAACAAAGAATAAACATAAAAGTAGCTGGAAAAGAGTGAGGTCATGACATGTGTGTGTTGATTTAGGTGTATTCACAAGAGTAAGATGTAAAATACTCTCACGTTCACCCTTCACAATGCACCCTCTCCCTTGGCAAGGTTTGTTTGTTTGTTTGTTTGTCCTGCAGCAGCAGCCATCTCCTCCTCATGCCCTGCAAGATGGGTTCAGGCTCTGCACATGCACACAGCACACCCTCACGGCTCTGCTGCAGCTCTCAGCCCAACACTAAAGCCTCCTTCCCTTCCCCTGCATTTCCCTGCAGCTGCCCAAGAAACCCTTCCAGTTCTCTGTGCAGAGTGTGCCTCTTACCTTGATGGCAGCTGCAGGGCTGGGGAGAGCTGAGGGCAATTCCTCCAGTGCAGGGCTGCGCTTTGGCAAGGGCATCTCACCTCCCTGCATTTATACTTGCACAGAAGTCTTACAAAGCACCACAGTCAACGGAACTGAAAGCGTCCAATATTACCCCCAGGGATTAAAACTAATTATCCATTGTATTTTGCCTTCTATGGTCCTAAAACCAGACATCTTCTTCCTCTTGTTCAAAAGTCTGTTGAAGCATGAGTGACTTGATGAAATGGGGGAAGTTCAGTTCTTGTTTGTCCTTCTCCTCCAGAAGAAAATGGAATCAGATTAACAAAAAGGTATCAAAATCGTTTGTGACACATGTTCTGTTTCTGAATGTTACAGCTTTTGTTTTTGATTTTCTGGGAAACATGTCTAATACACAACCTTCGTTTTACTAAGCGTTTGGTTGGGAGATATCCAGGTGTCAGAGAGGGCATTTACATAGCCTTCTCTTTTTTCAGTTGCCTTTTCTCCTTAGCATCACAGAAACATTTATATTGGAAAAGGCCTCCAAGATCCAACCTTTGACTGAACACTACCATGCCCATTAAACCATATTGCAAATGTCACTTCTTGTGTTTTAAACACTTCCAATGATGCTGGTTCCACCGCTTCCCTAGGTAGTCCATTCCAAAGCTTAACTACTCTTGTTGTGATGTGTTCCTAATATCCAACCTGAACCTCTCCATGCACAACTGAAGGTCATTTCCCATTGTCCCTCCCTTGCCTGGTACAAAGGCCAAACCTCCACCTTGTCACAAGCTCCTTTCAGGTATTGTCAAGAGAAAATACATCTGCCATGAGCCTCCTTTTCTCCAGGATAAACACCCCCAGCTCTCTCAGCTGTTTCTCAGCAAACCTGTGCTCCAGACCCTTCACCAGCCTTGCTGCCCTTCTCTGGCCTCACTCCCACACCTCAATGTCTTTCTTGCACTGAGGGACCCAAAATGAACACAGGATTCCGGGTGTGGCCTCACCAGTGCCCAGTACAGGGGGACAATCACTGTCCTGGTCCTGCTGGCCACACCATTGCTGGCACAGGCCAGGTGCCATTGGCCTTCTTGGCCACCTGGCACAGCTGGCTCATGTTCAGCTCTCTGAAGGTGTGGATGCCCCATCCCTCAAAGGGTTCTTTAGGGTCTCTTGCAGCCCAAACCATTCTCTGATTCTGTGACATATATGATCACATATATATTTATCTATAGTAACAGATGTACATGGTACTATCATAAATAATAATCAAAACCATCAATATTGTTGTCTCAAAAGCTGAAAAAGGTCACAGCGGAGAACCCAGAAACAGGATGTAAATTTCTGGCATGGTATAACACCAGCTTCAAAGTCAGAATTTTAATGCAGAAGCATGGCAAAAGAAACAGATACTTGCAGATATTTCTTTTGCACTCAATACCGTTTTATTTTAAATAGTGCTTTATACTTTCAGTTTCGAAATTAAACACTTGAATCTGGTTAGACATGATGTTTCTTTCACAAACATGTCAAGCAGCAATCTTACTATGCTAAATAATACTCTAAACATTTTTCCAATTTGGGCTAAACTGAATGCTTCAGATAATATTTCTTTTTAATATTTTTGCTCTATCCATTTTTTTTAATTACTGCCGATGGACCACCAATGCTGTTTCTCCTCATTTTTCCATCCTCCTCAATTTTCTTCTCCAGATGGGTACAAATTACTTCCTACATCAATTATTGGTTCTCCCAAATGCCACACCATGCTCTCAGTGACTCGTACTGGAAGTCTTTAGATTCTTTGTAGAAAACAGCATCCCATAAACTCTTCTGCTGGGAATTCTGTAGTGTGTCCCCAGGACTCAGCCCATCCTTTCTCTGGTCACTGTCTTCCAAGGTGCTTTGATCTGATTTGTTCTGTTCTGAGGTTCCTGACCAACTTCCAAGCACCAGAAACACCATCTAATGAATTACTGAATTGAATTAAACTAACAGTAAATTGCAGAATCAGCTCTGTTTCTGCATTTTTAAATAACTGCCTTTGGTCACTTACCAGTAGGAACTTACTTTACAAGATCATGCTACTGGACGTTGTGCTTCCCCTCTGCTGGTTTTGAAATTAACTCACAGGCATTCTGGACAACATTACAAATTCATCACTAGAACAGTTCTCAGAGTCAACTCTGAACCCTTGTTGCTTTGTTATTATTCAAAATATTTCTGGTTTATATTTTCACAAAATGTTTTATGTTGTGCTCATCGCTCATCCTCAGCTATCCCGACACACAGCACTGGAAAAGTGGCTTGGCCAGAAAGAAACCCTGCAACTGGAGCTTTTCCACACAAAAACCAAACACCCTGGTGTAACTTTACCCTTTCTTTACTTTGCAAATTCTCATTAAAATCTACGTTTGCATAAAACGAATTTTTAGCACAAAAGTAACAGGATGTGAAGATGGATTCTCTGTTTCTTTGAATGGTTTTTAATTTCTGTTTGAATTTGTGTTGAAAGACATTATGATATCCACTCAGAGGAAACTGTCTGCAGCAGCCCAACCACTATCACAAATAGAAGCTAGGGGAAAGTTAGAGAGAGCTCCAAGACTTGGACCACTGGGTGGTCTTGTTGGCTCTGAGAGGACGTTCCCCAGGCTTTGAGCACTGCGTGGCACAGAGCAGTGTGTGGTGCTTTGGCAGGGAAACCATGGCTGGACTTGCATTAACATCTCAGCTACTGCGGAGGCAATGACATGCGGCAGAGAGGCTGCTACAGGGCGTGGGGTCTGCAAGACCAGATAGAAGAGGCATGGGTCCTGCACCAGCCTAAACCTCAGTGTATTGTTCTGTTGAGCCTTGCTGTCTTTCTTCCTTCAGTCACCAGCTCTACAGGTGTCTCCATCTGTCCTGCTAAGATACATCTTGCTCCAGAGGCCTCCACTCATGGTGATATTTAAAGTGTGGGAAGACAAGTTATTAAGGGTATGTGGAACATGACAGTCTCTGTTTCATGAACTTTGTCAAATAAAGACAATTTCTGTTCAAGAGAAGCGACAATAGTGTGATTTGCCAGCAAAGTTTGAGCTGGAGCAGCCAGCAAGTGGGGCATGGACCTAGACTGGGATTTCAGACAGGCAGGTGACTCGTGCTGGGAGTCAAGGCACCACAGAACACCAGTGAGAACAGTGTGTGGTGTGTGTGTGGGCTGGCTGCAAGCACCAAGCTGCACTAGCCAGGGGTAGGAGACACCCAAGTGTCCTCTGCTCACAGAGCCCAGAGCCAGGCATGAGACTGGACAGGCTGGGGGCTCTCTGCCCTGTTGGAAGCGCCTGTGAAGGTGCTTGTGGCTGTGGAGAGTGAGGTGTGCAGATCTTCACTGGAGGGCTCCACGTGGATGATGTGGAGATGAGGAAGGAGATGGGGCTGTCTCCATTCCATTCTGTGGGAGAGCTGGCAGGGTGGGTGTGGGGTGCCTGGGGACAGCCCCTGGGTCATTTGGCCGTGTCCGTGTCCTTCCCGAGCAACAGGGGGTGCCTGTCCCTGGGTCACACAGCCCAGCCCAGCACAGGTGCCCCTGCAAGCTGGGCAGCAGCGGTGTGAAAGGCAGCCCCCGACAGAGACCCTGCCCCTGGGCTCAGCAGCTGAG